CTCTTAGCTTGCAGCTACTGTTCTGCTGTTCTTAGCTTGTAGCTACTTTTCTGCTCTTATCTTGTAGCTACTGTTCTGCTGCTCTTAGCTTGCAGCTACTGTTCTGCTGCTCTTAGCTTGCAGCTACTGTTCTGCTGTTCTTAGCTTGTAGCTACTGTTCTGCTCTTAGCTTGTAGCTACTGTTCTGCTGCTCTTAGTTTGCAGCTACTGTTCTGCTGCTCTTAGCTTGCAGCTACTGTTCTGCTGTTCTTAGCTTGTAGCTACTTTTCTGCTCTTAGCTTGTAACTACTGTTCTGCTGCTTGCAGTTTGTGTTAAGTTCACTTTAGCTTATGATCTGTTTTTCCTTTTTTACATTTTAACGACTCCGTTTTAGCTACTTCAGCCAATTTGATCAAAGTTATTCAGCACTCAGCGCTTGTGTTTAAATGATGCAAACTAACCTGCAGCCGTTCAGCTCTCTTCGTGTGGTCGTTTTAAACCCTGCTTGGTTTTCTTTAACATACGTATACACATGTTGCAGCTGAAAACACAGTTCTTAAAAACTATTCCAGCTTTTGGTCTCTACAACTCTTCCTTCTGTTGATGCTGGTTTTAATGGTGAATGTTTTCATCTAAGCTCGTCATTTAAATACCTTTAAGCTAAAGTCGTAACAAAATCAAACAATCTTCATGTTGGTAATTTAGAGCATTTCCTCAGATGAGACACTTTAATATTTCATCTATTATGTTTATTCTGTTTCGATGTAGATAAACCTAACACAAAATAATTCAGTTTTTGTGGGTTAACAGACCTCGAAGTCCTGGTCGGACAGGTAGATCTCCAGGCGGAGCGGGTCGACGCCCTCTGGCAGCGGCCGGGCCTGAAGCTCAGTCAGAGGATAGATGTTCTGACAGAGTTGGGCCAGCACGTCCTCCACCAGGATGATCTGGTTACACACCTCTGCCTCCTGCAGACACAACTAAACATTAGATTGTATGGGAGCATGGAGAATAAAAAGTGTCACATAAACACAATTAATACAAAATTTTTGGACTTCCAGACTCAATATTTTTACTCAGAGGGAGGATTGAGTGCCAAATAAGTAATTAAATAAATAATTAAATACTTCCTTTTACTATTATATAAATAATTACTCACTTTTTCTGTGATTTCAGCCACGTCCTCTCGGTGCTCCCAGCAGGGGAACATGTTGGTGAAGGTGAGCGGTTCCAGACCGGCGTGGATCAAATAGGACTTCTGTGGTTTCTTCTCATTTTTCTCTGTAGAAAAGAAAAACATCAACACCTTAAAAGTCAATCCAAGGCATTACATTCATGTAAAAAAAAATATTTTTAGTAAAACCAATTGCAAATGTTCTTAATTAGAAAATTAGAGTATCGTCTGTCCGTCTTCCTTTTTAACTGAAAAGTAGTATTTATTCTTTCTTTCCTGTGGAAAATCGTTTACATGAAATAACTTGTGAACCTCCAGCTTGAAGATGTACCCTCACCCCTCACTTTCATAATTTAAAAAGTTAAACAGCTAAAATATGACTTCAAACCAGTGGCAATTTGAGCCTCTTTTTGGGGGATACTCAAGCACCCCTGAAAAATAAATAAACCATCATTAGGATTTTGTAAGGAAACTCAGTTCTCAAACCTTAGATTTAACAAAATATTGAATAAATTTAGAATAAATGTAGAATAAATTATTACCGTACACTTAAACGGGCCAGTAAAACCTATGTTTGTTTGTTTTTTCACAAGTTGGATCCTTGATGCGACCTGTCAGTCTAATAGGCTTGTCAGCAACTGACCAATCGGCAACCTCAATTTGTCCTGAAGTGAAACACCCCTTACCTGCAGGAGCTTGGGGGTGGGGTGGGGATGTTGGGATGCGTGAGAAGCAGAGTGCCAATTCTGTAGCATCTTATCTAGTGTGTCTGGATTGTGTGCCACAATACAGTTGTTGGCAGTTGCCGACCGGGTGTGGAGGTGGGGGTGTTAGGATGCATGAGAGAAGCGAATTGTGTTTGATTCACACAAGGAGAGCTGTTGGTCAGGCTACTTCTTGTTGCTTTCTAAAATAGTTATTGAATCAAGTGTTTACTTATGTAGGTAAACATAGTTGTTTAACGACTTGTTAAAATACACCCGAATGCAGGAAATGGCATCTACTTTATTAAAAATATTCTGGGGGACGCCCCCCCAGACGCCCCCCCCAGACTCCCCCCCCCAGCCTCCCCCCCCCCCCCCCACACACACACACACATTATAAATTATTCTGATGCAACTGGCCACCTCATTGTTCAAGCCAGGAGCCATTGTCAGTACTGGGGGCTAAGCGCACCTAAAGATCAGATTCTAGAACCGCCCCTGCTTCAAACAAACATGTCAGGATTCACTGGTGCATTATTGGGGAAAATTTCAAACATATTTTCTTCATTTAAAATCAAAATTCCAATGGTTTAAAACATCCAGTCACTGAGATCGAAACTTATTATATTTAACAAGCTGAACACCAATAAAATACGAGTCTTCTTATCAATAAATTGATGTTTCAAACTTTCCTTTTCCACATTTTTTTAGTTCTCAGATAAAACCATTTTCTTGTCTTTGCTTTCTACACATCTGTGGATTTTCAAGGATTTTTTTTCCCCATCAGTTTTGTAAAAATGTTTATTATGTGCGGGGTGTTTTTTTCAATTTCCGGCTATCTGTCCTCGGCCAAGGATTAAGAGTCTGTTAGGAATTTTTTTTGCCTCCAAATCCTACTTGTTGTCACTTTCATTACTTTTTTGTCTGTCTAAACAGGTCTCACTTGTAAATGAGTCCCCGAGGCTCAATGTGATTAATCTGTCTAAATAAAGGTTGAATGAATGTGCACAGAAGCATCTGATTCCCCTCACCTTTGCAGTACTGCAGCACGGTCTCCATCGCGCACTTCCTGTCGGCGTCCCAGCGCATGCGAGCTGACCCGGTGGACTCGCTGTCCTGGGGCCACCAGCCCTGCCACAGGTACACCTCGTGGAAGTTATCCACGAGAAACAAAGCTTCGCAGGAGAGAGAAGCATATTAAACTCAAGGTAGAGTAAATATTAAGACTTCCAACTTTTTATTTGTGTTGATCGTGTTCATTTTCGAGGGTTAATGCTCCTGAAATCTTCAAAGTGAGGGTAAGAGCTGATTTAAAAGTCAGAGGTTAAGATTGGTCTGTCCAAAAAAGATTTTCTTTAAAAAAAAATCTAAAAGAAAAAATAAAATTCATTAATTTCCATGTTTTTTTTTTTTTTTTTTTTTTTTTTTCTAAGAGGCTGTATTAGTTTATTGTAATGTTTTTATTTAACAAATTATTAAATCACCGGAGGAATTTCAATCAGACTTTTTAATTTCTGTGTATTAGTAAGAGGTTTTAAAGCAATATGTAACACAAACTGAATGCTCAGTAAATATTGGAACATCTTTTGCTCACAACCAAACCGTGCATCGTCCCTCTTTTATACAACAAAACATAAAATGAGGAACTCGTGGTGTCTCTGTCCCGGTCTCACCAGGTTGTGGTGCGTTGTACAGGTCTTCCTGCAGGAACGGCAACGAGCTGACCAGATCTGGAGCTCTGGACGGGTGGAAGAACTCAGTAGCCACAAACTCCCCAGATGAGCTGGTGAGCTGGAAGAGCCGTGGAGTAAAGTTGAATTTACCTGGATCTGACGACACAAAGCAGAACATGTTGCTCAGTCACGGTGAATTTAACTTGTTTACAGATGTTTCAGCTTCGTTTTACTTTAAATCCCTCAGAAAAGTTATTTTTATCTGACTTTTATTGAGCACTAGTAGAAGTCTTGCAGCTCTCATAATTCGATAAATAAAACTGATATTTGATTACATTTAAATAGTTGCGGTGGCCGTAACTTTATTTAGTCACTTTTACAAAAAAAGCCACTTTAATTGGAGATTTGACACTGTATCCATGCTGCTGATTATCCATGCTGCTGATTTCTTACCTATAAGCTGCTGTATTCATATCCATCTGCTCATAACAGACTCATGTTCAGGCTGCTGTTTAATACTCTTCATTATATTATGTTATTATTGTTTAGTATATATCCTTGTATACTGTTTCAATTTATACTTTATATTTTTGCTACTTTTGGGTGTAACTGGGACCTTGAGTACACAATTTCGTTCCACCTCGTGTACATGTGATGCGAATGACAATAAAGAGCCCTGAACCTTGAAAATGTCATGGCAAAACACAAAATCAGAGTTTTTGCTAAATCAATCCAGCTGAAAACTTATTTCTAATTATTAGATAAAAATTGGGCAAATTTATTTTGAATTAACGTTTTCCTCCACATACCCTCGTTGGTGCAGGAAATGAACAGATTTTCACGGCCAGGTAAAGTGAGGCGTGTACCTTGCAGCATGCAGTCATACGCTTTCCTGTCTTTCCTCCCGAGAGCCTCCCAGAAACCCGGAGGCTCGACTCCCTCGTCGCACTCGTGGATGGTGACCTTGCTGCTGCTGTGAAGGCCTGCCTCCAGGGGACACCTGACAACAGAAGCAGAACTAACTGAGTACACGTGGATCCAGGTTCCCCTCCGGCACATCACCGTCCGGGCGTCCTCACAGTTCTTTGATCTTCAGCGCAGCCGTGCTCCCGACGCTGCGCGTGTGCAGCTGCGACTTGCAGCCGTTCCACAGGTAGATGAGAGCTTTGTGGATGTTGAGGAGGATCATGGAGGCTCTGGAGCGCAGGCTGCTGCAGTGGCACGCCACCTCCAGCAGGTGACCCTCCGCCGGCACCTCGCCCCGCACACAGTACAGACGCCACTCACCTGAGACCAGAACCAAGGGTCAGACAGGAAGGTAAAAGATCACGATAACTCAGTTTGATTTAGGTTTTGATGTCGGCACAAGGTCTGCAAGAATATACACAGCTTATTTACTTATTCTGTTAATGTTAAGTTCCAGAGCTGGTTTATTTGGAGGTTTATATTTCTCTCATTACTTCCATTCATACTTGAAATGTCTTGCTATATAATTAAAGAGCTGCATATTTTTAGGAATGACTTATAAACTATTCTGGAGTTTGTGCAGTCTTAAAGTCATAAACACGCTTTTTTTTTTTTTTTACAATGCCTTTTGAATAGAGTTCAGTTTGAGTCCGACAGGTCTGTTATGTGGGTTTCCTTGTTTTAGTCTATTTTATTGTCATTGTTTGTTTTTACTTTGTATGATTTTATGTAGGGTTACACGGTGGTGAAGTGGGAAGCTGTGGCCTCCCAGTTCAGGACCTTTCTGTGTGGGTTTACATGTTCTTTCCTGTGCTTGAGTTGTTTTCGTCCTCCGGTTTCCTCTCGCAGACCAAAAACATGAATGTTCTAAATTGTCCCTGAGAGTCTGAAGGGATGTTTGTCTCCGTGTGTCCCTGTGATGGACGTGCAGCTTGTCCAAGGTGTCCCCCGACTCTCGCACATTGGCTGTTGGAGATAGACACCAGCTGCCCGTGACCCGGAAAGGAGAAGCGGATATCGATAATGGATGGATGGATTTTACTGTATTTATTTTAGTGACTGATTTTTTTTTCTTGTTTAGTTTTAAACAGTTTGTTTAGAAAAAAAATGACTGTGACATTTTTAGGAGCTAAAAAATTATATAAATAACAACCCACAAGAATAATCGAGTATCTGCCTTTTTATGGATCCGTTTGTCTATAACCATTCTCTGAACCTTAAGGAGGAAACTGTAGCTCTGAGCTCTCACCTGCTGTAATAAATGAGTAGCTTAACTGGGATTAACGTGTAGGTAAAATGTTGATGTTAATATCTGGGATTAATATGAAATTTATGTCATGATGATAATGTTTACTCTGAGTGTTCTCCTCCTCCTCCCTCTTGCCCGCGTGGATGATCATCCCTCCGTTGAAGCACTGCAGGAAACATGGCAGCTCCTTCCCCTGCTGCACCTGGACCTGGAACACACGAATCACAACCAATACGATTCATTTTTATTTTCAACTTGTTTCATATTTGCCCATTATTTTTCATAAAGCAAACGGGGACAAATTAAGGCACGGGTGGATCATCAGAGGACGTTCCCTGCAGACCCGACTCTTACCTGAGCTCCTCGCTCCTCGTCCAGCTCCATTGTCATCAGCGCCGACGTTCCTTTCTCGCTGACGGTCGAGTGTCGACCCTGCCAGAAGAAGTAGCAGCATTTCTCCTTACCCGGCCCGCTACTCCTCGCTTCAGGGTTCTGCCTGCGACCCACTGAGCCACGCATGAGGAAACAAGAACGTACCAACAGTCCAAGAGAAATCTATTTTAAAAACAAAGATTGTAAAGCAGGACTTCGGCTGTAACTCACCGGAAGTGCTAACCATGAACTTCCACTTGACCACGTAGGCGTCTCCCTCGTGGAACTGACCGATGCTCTGGCGCGGCAGACGACTGTAGTCAAACTCCAGGATGTGCCAAACGTCCACGGACACTGTGCTGATCTCCTGGATCCTCAAGTGGTCCTCCGTCTCCACCGGGCCGTAGCCGCGGCCCACGTTCACCCCGTCCAGAGCGGTGGAAACGGGCGAGTGGAGGACAGGCAGCATCAGGGAGGCGTTGTAAGGCCGACATTCACGCCCAGGAGCCTCCTGACAGGAAGATGGTGAGTAGGATTCATTATAAGCTCATGTAGCGTGTGCTCTTTGAAAAGCAGGGGTGTCCACGCGCCAAAACTGTCCAGATGGAAGGACTCACGGGCCACAAAAATGTGAATTTAACTCTAACATGAAGATTTTTTGGAGAAATGACAAATTTTGCTAGAGAAAGCGTTTTAAATTGTTCTAGATCCAAAACATTAAAAGCCTCATAAACACTAAGCTTATTATTATTATTATTTTTATTAAAAATTATTTAATTCATTTGATTTGTTGGATCTATGTTTGTTGTTTGCTTGTGTTTGGAAAGTTAGTTTTAGTCTGTTCTCAGCAAGAAAAGCGTAATAAAAAAGCGTAATTGAGCCTTTTGGACCATGGACGGCCCAAAAAGCTGATCGAAGTTTTAAAAAAAATCATCCAGCTGTCAGTCGCTACAACAGATTCAAAGAAGGTTTGATAAAGTTGATCAACTCGTATGTAGATGATACCACGTTATATTCACTTAAAAATGTCTAATTTCCCTCTTGATTATTTTATCAATTTTAATATTTAGCCAAGTTTTATGAACATTTATCTAAAAGTCTCCTTTCTGGTAGAAATCAGTGAAGGTTTTTGATGCTTTGTACCATGAAGTGAAAATAAAAAGATTATAGCCAAAGGTTTTTATTTTGTTTAATATTGCTCATTTTGAAAATATTGTTTTTCATCTGTTTTGCTGTTAAACCTAAACATTATATAAAAAAGATTAGCAACTAATTTGCAGAAAGTCTGCATCGACCTCTTAAGCCTGCTGGCCAAAATGATACCGTTTCTTAAACTGTACATGTGGACCGCACAAATCAATCAGAGGGCCGCAAATGGCCCTCGAGCCACACTTTGGACACCAGTGCTCCAAAGTTTCAAAATATCCAAGATTCTTACCTTCTGTTCAGGTATAAGCTCTCCAACTTCCTTCAAGGTGGGCGACTTCACTTCAGTCCAGTCCATAAACTTCTCCTTAAACAAGATGGTCTCATTGTGCTCTGTCACTCTGCCGAATATGGCCCAGTCAGGACGGCCCTGGCCTTTCCTGCGAGCAAAAACACAGCAAATGGCAGCACGATGGATCAGTGGTTAGCACTGTTGCCTCACAGCAAGAAGGTCCTGAGTTCAAGCCCCGGTTGGATCTGGGGTCTTCCTGAGTGGAGTTTGCATCATCTCGTGCTTGTGTGAGTTTTCTCCGGGTACTCCCGTTTCTTCCCACAGAGCAAAAACGTGCATGTTAGTCTGCCTTCAGGTCCAGGCCTCCCTTGTAAAAGAGATCTGTGATTTCAGTGGGATTTGCTCGGTTAAATAACGGTTAATAAATAAATAAAATATGGGGAGTTAAATAAATAAATATTTCAAAACAAGACCAAAAAGTCAGAATATTCTGTATGTTTTTTTCTAGTTTTAAAGCAGTTACCTCAAACGCAAACCAAAAAGCAGGTTTCTCTGACCTGGGTATGAGCGTGTTGCAGCCTCCAGGGTCCAGCGGGTTGATGTCGCAGCAGGTGTAGTCAAACGTTCCGTTCCACAGGTGTTTGGCGAGCTGAAAGGCCACCTTCCTTTGTGCTAGAGTCACCTCTTTACCGTGCCACACGTACACCTCGCTGCCAAAGTCAAACACCAACACCTGCAGCGCACGGAGAGCATCAAACACAGGCTGCCAGAGCCACAAAAACCCCACTCTTCTGTTTACACGTCAAACCAAGCGAGTTTACTGACATGATTCGATTCACTGGGGGAACAAAGCCTGAACTAAACGCCTTTTCTGGAAGGTTTCGGTTATCATGCGCTTAAATACATAAAGGATAAGCAAATCAAAACATTTCTAATTAACATTTTTTTATTACTATTCAGAGAAAGCAGCTGCTGAAAGCATGTTGGTATCAGCTGCAGAACACATGAAGCCTTTGCACATTTTCAGCAGCGGCGCTCAGACGGACGTAGGAGGTGTTCATCTTGTCACCTGTTGTTGCTAAGCAACACAGGCCGAATCCCTTCACATTCATGTTGGTGAAACATTCAAACTCTGTCTTCATATTAAAACTTTAATTCATTTACTAATTATCGCTTTGGGTTCTGTTCTAATGGAGGATGATTGAAACCGTCTGTTCAAGGTCACGACTAACCAAAAAGAAAAAGTCAACGGAGCCACTGAAACAAAATGTTTACTGATCCTGTTTTGTCCATGCCGTCATCAGTCTAACAAAGTACAAATCAATGCCTTCTAATGTTTGAGCCAAGGTATGAAAAAAATGATTTAAAGAAACGGTTACAATATTTATACGCATTCCTACACCGCTTCTACACTCAAATTTGTAGACAACCGAAATTAAAGCCCTTTGATAGAACAAATACTTGATTGCTCTACAAGGTTAGAAGGCAGTTTTTAAAATGCTAGTGACCGTGCAAGATTAAAAAAAATATGCACCTGATGAATTATTTTTAATTTGCAGGCTCGTGCACCTGTCAGCTTCAGTCTGCGTGATGATAAGGATGTATAAAAGGCAGCATGAAGGTTCTGCACTTGTTCTCACAGCGCAGGGAGCTGCTGGCCAGCCTGCCCACTCAAGTACCGTATTTTGCACCGTACACGTTGCGCCGCCTTATAATTCGCATCAGTCCAAATATGTCTAATAAAGTGGAAAAATCCATAAATACGTCGCTTCACCGTATAAGTCGCATCTATTATGCGTCACCACTGACAACCTGGAAATGTGGGTCGGTGTTGTGCCAAAAATCGATTGGCTGCCAAATGGCGGCTGCGGCGGCGTGCACGGGAGGACTTCAACAAGAAGTACTTAAAAACGATTATTTGTTTGCTCGGAATTATAGTGAAGCTGTGTCTCAGTTGAACTTTTACTTAATAAATGCATTTTAACGATCAAATTAGCTGCATTTCTCTGGGGCAGCGCAGCGAAATGTAGCTTATTTGACGGTTGCTCCAAGCGAGCTGGACGAAGGGGGCAACTATGGCAAGCCGATTGTGTCATTAATAGCCACTTTTACATATTACATGACACAGCAGCATGCCATACTACTCGAGTGCCATCTAGCGGCTGAAAATGGTAGTGTTCAATATTTTAGTCAGAATAAATGAAAATGGTCATATCTCAGCCAAAAATTGGTTTATAAATATGGGAGAATCCATAAATACGTTGCTTCGGTGTATAAGTCGCAGGTCATGCAAATTATGCAACAAACTGCAACTTATAGGGTTAAAAATACAGTATTTTTTTGTCCTGTCCGACCGATGCTGAATAAGACCTGAAGACTTTGTGTGGACGCACATGTGCAGGAACCGAATGGTCATGTAGTATATGTGTGTGAGTCTGCAACAACTCATTTACCTCCTTCGATGCCAGCAGGGCGGTGCGAGGAATCTTCCCCCACTCATCATCATCGGGAACCAGCTTATCATCCACCAGTCTGAAGATGCAGTTGGTTTCCACGATGCCATTCTCATACCGCTCGTCCTCTTCTGATGGACCAGCCGCTACAGATGATGAGATAAGATCGTTGTCAAGATGGTCTAAAACCACGCAGCTGGTCTTAAAGTTCAAGTCTCAATCTTTACATTGATAAGTCATCTGTCCACCCAGGATGGTCCAGAACTGCTGAGCATCAGAACCCTGAGAGTTGACCGCTTCCTCGATTGTCTGCACCTGATTGGCTCTGCAGCCCATGTCCTTTTTCGTCTGGATGAAAGTGGCTAAATCTATGGCCTGCACACAGAAAGCCAAAATCTGAACACAAAATAATGTATTTATGCATGAAAATATATAATAATATGCTAATCTCATAGGAAGGTACGAACACATTTGTTAAATTAGTCTCAGCCGACCTTCTATCGGTGTTTGAAAAGAAGCTCAAGAAGAAGCACGTGTTTTACTGGAAGCACAGGCGGACTCGTGTGTGGAGCAGGAAGTGAGTGTTGAGTCTTTACTGAATCATCTCTGACCTCAGACAGGACAATAATACTCACTTTGGCTTTCTCAATGACGTTCGAGAACTCTCCTATCCACACGAAGCAGTGATCTGGAGTAACGAGCACAAAACTGTCCCCGCTGTTCAAAGAGGAGGCTCTGGGCTCCACCAGTCTGCTCTGAACGTGACGACGGCCTGCAGGACAGGAGGTCTCTTTTCATAATGTTCTTCTTTTACTCACGTAAGAAATCATGCTTTCATTCTAAACTTCAAAATGTACCAAAATGAGCTTATTTGGCAAATAAGCATTTAGAGGAACAACTGAACAGTCTGGAAGAATTGATCATTTGATTTACAGCCAGTTGTGGTGACAAAACACCAAATAGGAAGTCTTGAAATGATCAAGATGTCAAATTAAATGTAAAAATATATATATTTTTGGGGAAAAAGTGTAATATTTTAGTAGTTACAAATGAAGTAGGTTGTTTACTTTCCTATTATTCCTTTATTCATCTGGCTAATTATAGAAATGTTTGTATAATTCAGGGTCAGGGTGCAAATCTATACCTCTGTTATTGTGTGAATGTTTATGCAGCATTCACACTATTGAGATCCATTTTTTTCTGTGTGTTTTTCTCCATCTTTTGTGCTATTTCAATAAATCATAAATCAAAATGTTCAGCTCTTTTAACCCTGCTATTACTTTTGGTATTGGTGCAACTTTAGCTTTTTTGAAATATTTAACCTTTTCTGCCATTTTTTTCTCATAGAAAATGAATTGAGCTCATTTTACATCCTTTGTATCTTTAGATCTGTTTACAACCTTTTGCTGCTCCTTTCACATTTTGTTCTGCTTCAGCTTCTTTCAGCTGCCTTGTGCAAATTTAAACATTTTTCTAGCACCTTTCAGGTAATTTAAGCTGATTTTTCAGCTGTTTTGTGCTCTTTTCAGCTTCTTTTTACATCTTTGTGCTTCTTCTAACTTCTTTCTGCTAATTTCAGCTACTATTTAGCTGTTTTATGCTAATTTCAGCTTTTTCAGCTAATTCCAGATTTTTTGCACTCATTCATTTGCTCTCTCCACTTGCTTCTGGTAATTTAAGCTTCGTTCTGCCTTTTTTAGCTACTGTTCAGCTTTTTAAATGCAAATTTCAACTTTTTCCTGATAATTTCCACTTTTTGGTGTTCATTTCTGATTCTTTAAGCCTAATTAGGCACAATTGTGCTCTCAACTTCCTTCTGGTAATTTAAGCTTCTTTCTGCCTTTCCAGCTTTTTTTTGTTTGTGCTAATTTCAGCCTTTTTTTAAGCTAATTTACTAAACTTCGTGCTCATTTCTGATTATTTAAACCAAACTCAGCATATATGTGTTATTTGCTTTCTTCTGCTAACTTAGGCTTGTTCTTCCATTTCAGCATTTTTTTTTTTAGCTAATTTCAGCTGTTTTTCAGCAAGTTCTTCAGCATTCACACTGCATTTTCCCAGGAAATGCAATTTCTCAAATTTTTCATTTGTCAGATCTGCTGAATATGCAGCCGTAGCTTGATAGCTTAGTTTATGAGAATGATTAATTTGATATTAGAGTAAATATAGAAAGTATAAGTGTAATAACAGGAATGGATTGGTTGATTTAGGTTCATGGTTTGTCGTGTTCACAATATGAAACTGAAGAAAGTGGCAGAAAATGTCCGACATGTTAAACTTCAAAAAAATTAAAATAAAAACAGTCACAACGAGTGGTTACCTTTGACCTGAATCAGCATGAGGTTTTTAAACGGCGCAGCGCTGTTGTTGGACGTTTGCTCTAAGACGTTAACGCTGCGAAGACTCACACTGCTGAAGTTTTCCTTACTGGCCAGACCTGCCAGAGCCGCCTCGGAGTACTCCGAAGTTTTATTTACTGTGAGTGAGGAAGAGAAGGCACTTTGTAAATGAAAATACCTTCATGGGGCTGAAAACAGCATAAATGCTAGTAATGTTTCCTGTTTAACACAGTTTTCATTTTTACAATAAACATCAAGACGTAGACGCTGTGCTGGTAACGCGTGAACATGCCCTTACACTGACTCGTCTCAGCCTTCATTCTCTTGCTCTCCAGCTGAGCAACGTTTAGTCTTTCTTCGGTGTACTCGTGTCGGATATCCTCTCTTGCTGCCAGCATCTTCAGCGGGTTTCTAGACGCCTGAACGTTTCTAGATGGACGCACTGAACGCTTATGTTGCACCATGGCTGACGTGAGCCTGGACAGGAAGACGACGTGATGAAAAACAGCTAAATGCACCAGAATAACCAGTTTGTATGAATGCAAAGTCATTTCACCAAGTACACAACAATAAAAATGAGTTTTTAATTTTCTTACTTTGGACCCTGAGATCCAAAAATGGAGTCAAAGTCTTCGCTGATCTCGATCCTGGTGGGCATCCGAGGAAATTCAGCCACGCGTCTGTAGAACTTGGAGAAGATCTCATCGTCCAGCTTCATCACTTCCTTCACAGCCTTCTCAGTCACTGTTATGGTGGTTTCCTGCAAACCCGCCACTGAACAGAACGTGTTAAAATACAAAGTAGAACTTAAAACCCAATGCCTCGTTAGTTATTGTCTAGAAAGGACAATAAATACGTGAGAAACTTTAAATAAAAGGATGATGCATGCTCAGTGACCTGCAGTCGGACAAGTTTTAGAAGTGGCAAGTTGAGAGGATACAATTACAAAAAGCTGCTCACATGTGCACTGATTGAATGGGAACAAGCACTAAATGTCAAACTTTCTATTTTAATGTAAAAAGTACAATTATACCGTTTCATGTTAGTCTGGAAGAACATACCTTTGCTGTTCAAACGTCCCAAAAAGCTCTCCAACTTGTCTAGTTTCTTATCCGACACCATGTCTGGCCTGGCTTCAATTTCTACGTGAGAAAAACGATTAAAACACAACTTATGTTTTTGCTTCTCCACCTGAAATAAACACAATTTTGTAAAGTTATTCCTTTATTAAACATCATTACTTGTTGATTTACTCTTATTTTATGCAAACGTAAAGCCCTTTCTGTTGGATAAGAAGTTTCCAAATGAAAAATAAATAATCCTTTTGGGGGTTTTTATGAGTCTCTGGACACAACTGGAGTTGGACACACAAGAACTAGGAGACTCAGATTTGTTGGGTTAGTTGGAGGAACAAGTGACCCCTAGTGGTTTAACTGCAGAATGCATCCAATTACATCTTCCTCCTCGAAGCATACAGAAAACACTAAAGTGTAAAAATAGCATCAAAGGCCTGTTTTACAGCAGAGTCAGACCTGGTGTTACTTGATGTGAGGCACACATGTGCAGACACTTCCTACTGGGTATAAATTACTAGTTTCCAGGATGTGATTCTTAATTTTCACGTAAATCTTCTTAGAATTAAACAACGTGGTGAATCCTAATCAGTGCATTCATTTCTGCCAGTAGATTAAGTGACGAATAAAACATTCCTGTAAACAAACTAGTTTAGTAAAACTTCTGTTGAAGGTTTTTAGACAAAGAGACAGTGATGATGTAACAGTTCTCACCCTCTTGCGGTTTGTTGACAGCAGCCGTGCTGCTCTTGAGCTTAGTGGAAACTGGCGACAGGATGGGACTGATGACCGAGGAGGAGACTGCCAGGCCTGGAGACGCAGAAATGCACACAGATAAGACTGACTGGACCAACTGGTCCATGAAAAAGTGCAGTGTGATTGCTTGTTGCTGAATGATTTTTGCTGAAAGCAGGAAAATAAAAGCAGAAAGCATCAACAATGTGTAGAAAAGGCTGAATAGAACAGAAATGTAGCAGAAATTAGTAGATTAAGCTGAAATAAGCAGAGAGAGGCTGAATAAATTACAATCATACACCAGAAATGAGCAGAATTGTTTTTATTAGCTAAACGTAGCTGAAAGGAGCTGAAGGAAGCTAAAATTAGCGCAAAGGAGCTGAACCAGAACAAAACCTGAAATGAATTCAATTCAGTTCAGTTTATTTATACAGTGTCAAGTCACAACAGAAGTTGTCTCAGGGCACTGAACAGAAACATTCATATATAAAAATAATAATTTAACATTATTTATCTGAGGAGCTTTGAGTTTAACTCCATCGCAGAACTCTTATCTTGAGCATGAAGGCGACAGTGGAAATTAAAAACTCCCTCATGAGGAAGAAACCTTTAGCAGAACCAGGCTCAGGACAAGCAACATCTGCTTCAACCAGCTGGATTTGGTAGGAACAGATACACAATGGCAGGTGAAGAATCACATGTTAAGATAGAAATAGTATCAAATGAAAACTATTCAGTTTTAGCAATTCATTTAAGAAAATTAGGTCAGTTTTTCCTCTAGTAGTCTAAGCTTAAAACAGCATAACAAGCCGACCCTAATTCTAAGATTTATCAAAAAGGAAAGTCTTAAAACTGGACAATGTGTCATGGTTCCACAAGAGAGGAGCCTGATAACTGAAAGATCTTCCTCCCATTCTGCTTTTGGAAACTCTAGGAATCGCAAGTAAACCTGCAGTCTGAGAGCGAAGTGCTCTTTTTGGAAAATATGGAACAATAAGATCTGTAATATAAGATGGAGCTAGGTCGTTGAGAGCTTTGTACGTTAGAAGTAAGATTTTGAATTTAATTTGACAGGGAGCCAATGGAGAGAAGCTAAAACTGGAGAGACATGATTTCTCCCACTAACTCCAGTTAAGTCTCTGGCAGCAGCATTTTGGATTAAATTGTAAGGATGGCGCCATCTTATGGGCCTTCCCTGTCTGTGCACCCTTGTGTGTCTCATTATTCTTGATTAATTCCACCTTCCGTTCCCAGCTGTTTGTAATCATGGCCTGTCTTGTCTGTGTATTTAAGCCTGTCTGTGAGTCTTGCCCTTTGTCGCCTCATCGTTGGGTCTTCCCTGATGTTTCCTGTCGTGTTCTAGTCTGCAGAGTCTGAGCCCTTTGCTTTATTATTATTATTATTAAATATATATATATTTTTGTATCTCCTGGCTCCAGAGTGCTTGTCTGAAATTGGGTTCGCTCTTGCCTGCTAAAATCCTGACATAAATGAAGACTTTTTTTTAAAAGAAAATGAACAGTAAAAGTTTTAAAGAGCACAAACGCTTTAAAGGGTGTGGAGAGAGCTCCATTCATTTCAATGAGGAAAAACACGGCAGAAAAAAACGAAATATTTCAAAAAGTAAAAACTGCACCAACATCAAAACGTCACCGCAGGAATGTCATAAATGAGCTGAAGCTTTTAATGTATGAACTGGTGAAATAGGACAAAAAAATGTGCAACGAGTTACGAGCTGAAAAGCGCACGGGAGAAAAACAGATCTCGATACATATCTCTAACATTATCGAGGCATAATCGATTTAGTTTAGAGGTTGTGTGAAAATGTTCTCTTTTAAAACGGTACCTCCCAAATCAACTTGTTTGTATAAATTATTCAGACACTTAAACCTTTTAGTGAAAGTAAAGTGTGTTTGTATTTGAGTGACCGTCTCAAACCCTCACCTTTCTTGACCATGCGTGCAGCGACCGTGTACTGTGTCGAGTCATTAGCTGCTCCTTTGCCTTTTGTCTTCCAGGCATCCTCACGTGTTGAAATCATCTGTTTCCTCTCTTCGATGCTCATCTGGGCCTCAGTCTCCTCCTCAGCCTTCTGCAGACACACGATCAAAACGATGAAAATTAGCGCAAACTCAATCATCTCTGATTATGGTTGCTCTACAGTTCCAGTCATGCTTTAATTATTTCCATAAAATCAAATCCATCATAGCCACGATACTACATCCACTGTTTCATCCGTACAACTTAACTCCAACTTCACGTCACAACTTTTGTTCCCTCGGGCACAAAGGTTCATGTAGCATCAAATCAAGCCAAGTTAAAGATTAGATGCATCCAAGCATGCTAGGTGTGTCAAGTCCTCTTCATTCCTTAGAGTGACAGCTCCTGATACTCATGATGTAATCACCAACACATCTTAGAGGAGCTTTCACACAAGTGGCTGCAAAACCAAGCAAGAGAGAAAAGACTCCAGTTCATGCTGCCCATTGTCCGGTGTGTCCTTACCTGACCATGATGGTCTATATACTGACACTTTTGGCCAAGGGAAATAGGAGGAGAAAAGGTGGAGGAGAAGACAGGCTCCTGAGGAGGTGGTGAAAAAAGTTAAAAGAGAGGAAATGAAGGACGCAAACACATGAAAACACCTAAACGAGAGACGTCGGATGGAGAAAGCCAAGGCCGAAAACTGAGAGCGATTAAAAAAAAACAACGAAGAGTTAAAATGACTTTACTTTGTAACTGAGCTCTGGTTAGTTACCTGCTTCAAGCGCTAAACAATTAGTAGATGTTATGAAAAACCAGCACCTACAGTAGACCTAACGTCTGCAGGACAAAGGACACACACCCGCTGTGACTGGACGGCACAGTTACTGCTCAAAGCTGATTGGTTTAGAGCTGACGAGCGACTGCCAACAGGCCTTACCCAGAGCTGCTCAGACACAGCAGAGGGGTCCTGAACGACCACCCCTTCCTCCTGAGGGGTCAAACACAGGGAAAGGACTCAGTCTGAGGGAGGGGGGCAGAGCTATTGTTGATAAACTGCTTGAGAGAGGCAGAAGGAGGGTTCACACAACACCCCCCCACACACAGAATACTAATGTGAAAGAAAGCTTTCAAAGAGGCAAAATCATTCAATCAAAACCTCCAAAAGCTTCAACGTTTACACCAAACTGTTGTTTTAAACCCCACAAATACAAGTACATAATAAAAGTAAGGGTTTTTTTTTGTTTGTTTGTTTTAGGCATGTGGCAGATGAACAGTACAGAGAGAGTGTCAAAATAAAAGCAGAAAATTAACTTGCTCTGCCTTTTTGGACTGATATTATTTTTTGTCTTTTATTATAACTTTTATGTCATTCCCAAAGATTTAAAATGAATATAAAATACCATAGATAGATAGATAGATAGATAGATAGATAGATAGATAGATAGATAGATAGATAGATAGATAGATAGATAGATAGATAGATAGATAGATAGATAGATAGATAGAGACCATATCTTCCAGCCTATAAAAATATTTAACACTACCATTTTCAGCCGCTAGATGGCACTCGTGTTGTATGGCATGCCATTGTGTCATGTAATAATAATATTAATGACACAATCGGCTTGCCAAATTTGCCTGGAGCAATCGTCAAATCAACTTTATTTCGCTGCGCCGCCCTGGTGAAATGAAGCTGATTTGACCATTAAAGTGCATTTATGAAGACAAAGTTCAACTGAGACACACCTTTACTATAATTTCGAGCAAACAAATAACTGTTTTTAAGTGTTAATCTTGTTAAATTCTTGTTCAAGTCCTCGTGTGCACGCTCCTGCGGCCGCCATTTGGCAGCCAATCGATTTTTGGCACAACACCGGCGCTCATTTCCGGGTTGTCAGCGGTGGCGCATAATAGATGCGACTTATACGGCAAAGTGACATATTTATGTTTTTTTCCACTTTATTAGACAGTTTTGTACTGATGCGACTTATAAGGCGGCGCGACGTGTACGGTGTAAAATACAGTAGATAGATAGCAGGAGGGAAATGTGAGGCTTCTAATAGCATGTTCTAATTATATAGAAGAAAATACACGACATAATCAGGTTTGTTCGTAAAAATGAACCAAAACTATTTAGCAAAATGGAACAATCAAAAGCCCATCTGAGAGAGAAATAAATAAAAAAAAAACAATTGTCAAAGTTAAACAACTGACTTAAGTTTAAGCATCAAAACTGTCAAAACTGTGTTGATGTTCAGGCTAAAACCTGCAACTGTAACTAAACGACTTGAAGCTAAGAGAAAGTTTATTTTTATGTTATAACTAGAGTGTAACACAGAAGTAACTGTACACATGTATTATTCTGAACTGACCGTCTTCTGGCCGCTCGGCTCCGTTTCCTGCGTCTCCGTCGACGCCACTTTGACCACTTCCTGTTTCTTGTTGATCCTGTTCTTCCAGTCCTCCTCACCACTCTTCTTCAGCAGAGCCACTCTGACAAAAGACAGACGGGCATTTGTAGGCACACTGTATTTGTTTCTCCAAAAACATCTCTTTCAGCTAGTGGTTGATGTTTTTCCAGGGACAAAAGTGACACTTCTGTTCAGAGTAGAAATATCAGACATCTTTATCTCATCCAAATTAACTGCTTTGGTTAATGCTGGTTTTTTAAAATTTGTTAATTTATTTATGATTTCTGACTGTACACAAACAAGTAAATCAGTGCAAATGTATGGATTCAAAACTTCCATCCATCCATCCATCCATGATCTTTACCCGCTTTGTTCTTTTCAGGTCATGTGGGTCACTGGTGTCCATGTCCAGCCGTCACTGTGAGAGAGGCAGGGGACACCCTGGACAGGTCTCCAGTCCATCACAGGGACACACGAGACAAACATTCACTCTCTCACTCACACCTAGGGACAATTTAGAGTTACCAATCAGCCTAACGTGCATGTTTTTTGGTCTGTGAGAGGAAACCAGAGTACCCGGAGAAAACCCAGGTGTGCACGGAGAGAACATGGAAACTCCACCCTGAAATACGGGGTACCGTTTGTAAAGTTACAGTCAAAAATTAACAGCAATATTATGGTTTATTTAGCCTTTCATAAAAATTTAAAAAATAGGTTTTGTTTTTCAAAGTCATATCTTCACCATGTTATTCATACATTCATAAATGTCATAGTTCCAAACTAAATATTTAATTTACAAGCTAAATATTTAGTTTACAAACTAAATACTTAACTTTCAAGTTAAATATTTAAATAGGTGTAAATTAAATATTTAATTTCCAAGCCAAATATTTATTTTTAAAATAAAACAAACAATTTTAAAACAAAATATTTATTATCCAATCTAAATATTTAATTTACAAACTAAACATTTAATTTCCTAAGCTAAACATTTAATTCCTAAACTAAATATTTAATTTGCTAACTAAGTATTTAGCTTGTACCTAAATATTTAACTTGCAAGCTAAATATTTAGCTTATAAGTTAAATATTTAACTAGAAAGCTAAATATTCAGACCGGCTCACTTTTAATCCCTGGCTTTTGACACAGTGTGATTTGTTTTTAACCTGTTTTATTCTACAGTGCTAGCCATTTAGTTAATATCTTCTGCTACTCGTAGCTATATTTTTATTTTACTTTATTTTATGTTTTGCTTGTTTGTTTCTACTGTACAGCACTTTGGTTGGCCTTGTTGCTGTTTTAAGTGCTCTATAAATAAAGTGGTATGGTATGTTTAGTTTGGAAAATAAATATTTAGGTTTGAGCTAAATATTTAGTTAGCAAATTAAATTTTGTTTTGAAAATTAAATATGTAGCTTGTAAATTAAATATTTAGTTTGGATGGACTGACATTTATAAATATGAATAACATGGTGAAAATATGAGTTAAAAAAAAACATTTTTTTTCTTACGAAAAGCTAAATAAACCAAAATATTGCTGTTAATTTTTGAATGTGTAACTTTACAAACGGCACCCTATACAGAAAGGCCCCCGATCGGGATACATTTAGGATATTTACAATAAAATCTTCTGTGATCGTTTTAAAATATTCTTCTTTTCTGCTGACCTGTATGTTTCTTTCACCAGCAACAACAAAACCCTAAAGTTTGGCATCTTTTGTGCTTTAAGTTCCACTTTAAATTATTTATGTGCACTGTGAAGCTGGGCTCAATTTCTCATGGTCCAGTAAATCACCAGTTTATGTAGAGTTTGATTCAAGGCTCCTCTTGACTCGTGCTGAGTTTGAATAAATGCAAGAAATGATACAGTAAATTGTTGTTTTTGTTAAAAGTCACAAATGAAATCCTCTGGATTTAAACGATTAAAGAGGGATTTGGCTTCTCAGCGAGCACACCGATCAGATCTGAAGACGAGTGCATGGGCAGTGCTAATAATGGATGTCTGAGGGCTAGAAGAAAGTGTGTCATCGCTGCTGCTGCTGCTGTTTGAGCATGGACAGGGCAGAAACGAGGGCGTCCTGAGGAATCTGATAAACCTCCGAGGATCCATCAGTCTGCACAGCTCTGTGGAAAAACACCACGATGCTAAAAAAAGAAATTCTTACCACTAAAGGTTCAAGAGCTGAACATAACTTCGGTTCACAAGAAAAAATAATTCCACCTAAATCTGTCAAGCAGCAAATTTATGACTGCAGTTTGTAAAAATCAGAGAGGTCTTTGAGGATCTGCGTTTGGACTTGGATATGTTTTTTTTTAATTATTATTATTATCTGTGCCAATGAAGACCAGCATGGCCACAGAGCTGCAACCAACAAACACCATGGTGAACCTGGTGTCTCACCTCTCCTTGATGGACATCTGTTTGGCAGACATGCCGTCAGACAGTTGGTCTCCAGAGTCCGTGGGGGACAGCAGGTCCCCAGAATGGACACTGTTCCTGCTGAGGTCCTCGGGGTGGTCCGGGTGAGAGGACTGAAGCTTGTTCAGAGCCTGAGGGAGGGACTGAGGTTTGGGGGCCGTCTGAGGAGGCACCTGGGGTTTGGGCTGAGGCTGCGGGGCTGTGAGGAGGTAAGGCTTGGGGAGAGACTGGCTGAAGCCCTGAGGTCTGGACGAGGTCTGAGAGGACTGGGTGAAGGATTTGAGATATGTTGGTGGGGGCTGTGGGTATGATGATGGCTGGATGTATAAGGGGGGTTTGGGGAGGGTCGGCGGAGGCTGGACGATTTGACGCTGCGGGCCGCTTGAAATATAAGACACCGCCCTGGATGATACTTTAGCGACCAGCGGCTGCAGCGGCCCCGGATGATCCGGTAAATCTGAAAAGAAACAAGTTTCAACATCAGCGTCTGAAATGAGCTTTTCCTGGTCAAAAAGGTCATTTTTATTTTTTAACGTTCAGATACGAAAATATAGAAATGTTTTTTTTTGTCTGTGTTCTCGTTTGTTTTCTAAATTATGACATTTCTCTCGTTTGTTTTGTTGCAGTACGATTTCAGATTATGTTTCTTTTCCCAAATATGTTTTTCCGTGGTGCTTCCAGACATTTTTTAATGGGGTGCCCAGATGGAGGCCTTAACTAAAATATATTTTTATAAGATTTGATATAATGTTGTCATATATGGGTTATTTGACTTATACAGCCATATGGGAGTTATATAGATTTACCCTATGATTCAGTTTTAATTTTAATAATTAATAATAATTATTGAGGAAAAAACTACTCAACATATTGAAGCTCATCCTCTTTTAAATTTATATTTATCAAACTATATGGCTATATATAAAAAAAGAACAGTAATGGTTTGTATATGGATATAACTTCATGAGACCATGCATCTTAATGTTGAGGATGTTGTTTTACACAGGCTAGCCTTATATGTCCTTAAGTTATTTTTAAAATTGTAAATAAAACACATACTTGTGTGTTTAAGTTCTAATTGCTCAAAAGCAACGATTGTTTTTAAGTTTAAGATGTTCGACTAATCCTAAATAGCTGGTATAAATTAAAAATGCACACCAAGCAAAAGCTTGGGATTCAAGATGAAACTGTCTGGCCAAATGGGGGAGGGGCAACAGTTTTTTTTTTTTTAGGGGTGGTCAGTGGCCCCCCCTGACACTCCTTGGTGGCACCCCTGGTCTTTCTATTGGTTCTTTTTGTTTTCTCCAAAACATTCATCCATTATCTTCCACAGCTAATTTGATGTGCTGGTAGCTGAGAGCGACCTGTTTTACATTCCTGATGCTAATCAAATATCCAAGATGGCCACCGTGGCTACTTTTAAATGGCTATAATAACTCAGCCATTTTTGGAGCTACCATATTCAGCTGACAGTTGGTGCATTTGTAGCTGAGAACAATACCTCAAATAAAAAATCCAAGATGGCCCCCAAAGCTACATTTAAATGTCTTTAGTTCAGCTGTTTTTACACATAAAGAGCTTAAATTTGGTGTGGTCATAGCTGAGAACATTCCCCATCACTACTGTATCCAAATCAAAAATCCAAGATGGCCACCCTAGCTTAAAAGAAAAAAAATGACATTGACTTGTTGTTTTTTTTTCCATGTTGAGCTGAAATTTGGTTTGGAAACCCAACACACAGTATGGTCAAATCAACATTTTAAAATGGCCACAACGAAGCAGTTCCCGTCAAAGTTTCTCCTGGAACTTTCTAGTTCTCTAATGTTGTTTTGATCCTTAGGTCCATTTTAATAAACTGCTGAAACCCCACATGAACCTTTGCAAGTTGTCGTGATGAAGACACTTGATCATTAAATAAATTGATGTGCAGTCGAGCCAATGAGTCTATTTTATAATAATACATGTCTTTATGGTGATATGGTTTTATTTTTTACTTGTCTTTTTGTTAATAGTGTATTAGCTAAAGGTTTTGGCGTCACCAGAGCATCAAGTTGTTGAAAGTTTACTAGTCTATTTGTATAAATACAGTTTTAGTTCGGACTGAGCCAGGCAGAACTAGCAGCCTGCAGACAGCAGGGTTAACACTGCTCCACTTCCACCTGCTTTATGTAAGTGCACATCAATTGTCCTGCCCTCTTTCAGTGCCTGCTTGTGTGTTTGCATGGCAAGAGACCACCCCTGGACACATTCTGCACCAGCACAGCAGGTCAGGTCCACTTTATGGTGATGCAAAGGGACCACAGCCCTTTTCTGGCTCACGACAGAATGAGAATACAGAAACATCTTCTGGGGACTCAAACATCATTTTGAGGGGAAGGAATTCCTCTTCCCTGACAAAGAGCTCCACGAGGAACGTTCACGGATGAGGGAAAAAAATGCTAATGAGATGCGGCCTCTGTGTATCAGCCAAATCAAACACTCCCAGCTGGGACGTGTGTGTGCCGCCGGCAGAAAGCAGTCATGCGTGGGAGCTCTCTGCAGAAAACAATGAGGATAATGAAAACAGCTTCTTTTCACAGGGAATTTCTCTTTGTCACTTTCCTCCTCTCTTTTTTTGGTTTATTTATTTATTTGTTATTGCCACCCCCTTTTCTCCAGCTGCAGATATTCATATTATTTTACCTTTGAAGACCCTGAACACACAGACACACACTCTTCGGGTTTCTTTGTAGGGGTGCCACCTACCTGAGACGCCTCCCTGGCTCGGGCCACTGCTCCCCTTCAGCTCTTGTGTGTGTGAGCTGGAAGCTGCAACATCTTTCAGGTGGCCTCCTTTTCCTCTTCCTCCCGCCTCCTCTCCTTTCTCCCTTCCCTCCTGGGAGGCTGTGGCTCCCCTGCTGGGCAGAGGGTCTGGCTCCCCCCTCCTCAAAGACGACTTGGTGGTGAGCTGAGGATGCTGCAGCCTGTCCTCCCTGTCCCTGTCAGAGGAGTGAATGCTGCCTTCTCTGGCTCCTCCCCGTTGTCTCCCTTCTCCCTCCCCCTCCTCCTCTTGATGCTCTCTCCAGCCCTCTGCTACTGCCTCCCCCTGCTGTTTGAGACTGGATGAGGAGGTGGTGGGAGCCCCTTTCTCTGAGCTCCTCTCGGGGAGGAGAGGGGAGATGAGCTCAGGCTCCGGGTGCCCCCCCTGAGTCAGGGAGAAGTACCTCGGTGCCCTCTCCTGGTGGATGTTTGTGCTGCTGGACAACTGTTGGGCGGGGCTGCAGGGGACGGCGGTGGACTTTCCTGGAGAAAGAGCATCACTGGCGCTGCTGCTGGGTAGCGCCATGGTTACCGTGGCAACAGAGGCTTGTGAGGCGATGGCTGCCACCGATCGAACCAGGGAGACCGACAGCGGCTCCAGTTTGATCTCGCCTCCATTTTTTAGCTGGAAGGACAGCAGGAGTCAGTGAGGAGGTCAGAACAAAAAGGATGAACTGATGTTAATGAAGCAGACACGGTGATCAGAGGACTGGGTGGGTGTTTGGGAACAGAGGTTCATAAGGTCACGACCCCGATGTGAGTCAGGAAACACAAACGAGATGTTCAAACATCACAGAATCCCACCAGGTTTTTTTTACATCTCTAAAAATTAACATAATGTACACTAGTGACTGAGATTTTTTGTGTTATTATGTTTTTGTTTACTCGTTGTTTGATTAAGCAAAATATTGAGAATAAATAGAAACAGATACAGACCCGGACTGTGTTCACAATGGAGCACAGTAAACACAGCAGATGCTTAAACTAAGAAATTGTGCCATGAATTGGATTAAAATTAGGTAATTTTGAAATTTATGGCAGCAAAACATCTGAATACAGTTGTGTCAGGGTCATGTGACGCTTCCACGCTCGTTTGAACAACAGTCTGTAAACACCGAGGAACTGAGACCAGCTGCTCAAGGTTTTGATGTAAAATATTGTTTTTCATTTCATCGTATTTAACATTTATTTTACCAGGCAAAATATTAGAGAACCAGTTCTCATTAACAAACATGAACTGGTCAAGAAGTCCCATTAAGAATTAGGCACATTAATACATTGAAGAAAACCGATAAATAAATTAATAAATTGCCCCATTCTTGTCTGATGAAGGATTCTGTTTTATTTATGTATTTATTTAGTAACTGCTGGATAGGAGTAGCCTATATATTGTTCTAAATCCTGTATCTACTGTTGTGCATTGATGGTGCCTTTCCAGTTGTGTAAACCACCAATACTAGAGGCACTAATGCACCCCACTACCATCAGAGAGGCTAGCTTTTGAGCTGTGCTAACAGTCTGGACAGTCCCTCTCCTCTTTAGTATGGAGGGCGTGGCATCTATGGTTTCAAAAATAATTTCACATTTTGATTTGTCTGACGGTGGCACGGTGGTGCAGTTGGTAGAGCCGATGCCTCTCACCAAGAAGGTTGCCAGATCGAATCCCGGATGAGGACTTTTCTGGGTGGAGTTTGAATCTTTGTGCATGCATGGGTGTTCTCTGGGAACTCCGGTTTCCTCCCACAGACCAAAAACATGCATGTTAGTCTGACTGGTGACTCTAAATTGGTGTGAGGGAGAGAGTGAATGGTTGTTTGTCTCGTTTGTCTCTCCCTTTGATGAACTGGAGACCTGTCCAGGGTGTCACCCACCTCTTGCACAGTGATGGCTGGATGGATGGATGGATGGATGGATGGATGGATTTGTCTGACCACAGAACAGTTTTCACCTTTGCCTCCGTCCATTTGAAATGATCTTTGACCCCGAGAAGACTGCCATATTTCTGAATTGTGTTCACAGATGTTTCTTTTTTCTTTGCATGACAGAGCATCTATGGAAGTGTTCCTGAGTCCATGCAGTGATGTCCAGAATAAAATCAGAGCTGTTTTAAATGCAGAGCAACCTGAGGCCCTGAATCAGCTAATCTGTAAGATGAAAGAGATTTGTGAGAGCTGCAGACCACCTGCGACTTCTGGGACTCTGCAGCATGTTGGGGACGACCTTGGAGGAGGCTCATAAGCATGGACCAGTGGAATGCCCACAAATCTGGCCATTTTGGATCTTGAAAGTTCCAGCAGGACTCAAGGCTGACAATAAAAAAAAAAAGTCTGCCTGAAAAAATCAGCAATTGTGGCTGGTCTGAATCTGACTCCACGGTTGGCCTCAAAAACAGGCCGACATCAAATTTCTTCTGGGATATGTGTAACCTAAGGAAAAGCTTCCTTTATTGTAACCCCCCACCCCCCCACCCCTCACCGAGAACTTCTGTGAAGGCTTATCAGAACGATGCCTGCTGACACCAACATCTTATCAGGACTATGGACTATCTGGAAGCGCTTCATGGACAAATCTCACCGTCTTGTCATCAAATGCACATGTAATGTGTCTATCAATGTGCTGCTGGCAGAGTTTTTGGATGTCTTAAATCATGTCCTGATAGGACAAGATGTGAAGAGATGTTTTTTGTAATACCACAATCCTATCCTCGTGGCTTTTCCCCCTTTTCTATCTAAAAAAGGATTTTGAAAAAGGATAAGGGGTCGCGCTCCAGTAGCAGCAGCAACGTGCACTCCGCCCATCTTTCGGACATAATCTCACTGTATTTTGGTAAAATGATAATAAAGCTTATTCTGATTCTGAAGACCATGGACACCCATCACTGACCTTCAGTGATGTCCTCTGAGCTCAGAGATTTCTCTAGATCCTTGAAATCTTTTGGTGATATAAACAGTACAAAATGGGAGATTCAAAAACTTACCAATTCTTTTGATGAGTAAAATTATTATAATACTGTCTCACTATTTTAACAGCAGTTTTTGCAGACTGATGAATCTTTTAAATTGTGTTGCTGCCAAAAAAAAACACTAATTTTCTTTAAAGTGGCACCGATTCTTAGTTTAAACATTTGATATGCTTACCATACTCCATTCACTGGAATAAAAATAGATTTATGAGATTTGCAAATATTTGCATTCTGTTTCTATGTAGATTTCACACAAACTTTTGCAGAATGGGCGTTCATGTCAGATAATAATAGAGTCACGTGTCTGACATTGTAATTATGTGTTTGGAGGATGCAAAGGTATCCCTGTAAAAAATGCATGACAAAATAGGAAGGAAAAACAGAAGAATATATTAAATTAATTTAATAAATTGTATTGATTATCTGCAATACAATGGTCTGAAAAGCTCAGGATAAAATCAGACTTTTTTAAAAATAACTACTGATAAGTAGGATCCATCTTTCCTCCATATTTCCTTGGTGGAGCTTGTTTATGTTAAGCAGCATGTTTTTTTTTTTGTGTGCAATTTGCAGCCGCCTCTAAAACACAAACTTCATATAATCTGAGCTGCCAGCATTCAGCATCCAGTCCAAATCAAAGCTACACCGACTCATATCACTCCTCAGATACTGGTTCTGTTAGTTCTTCAGCAACAAACTATTGCTCTCATTCACGTATCGCATGCTTGCTGTGCACCAAACAAGCATGCCACGTAAGCAGCCGCCGACAAAACCAAGAGAACAGACTGGTATTGGCTCGGCACGGCCCAAATGATCACGTGCTGCATGTAACACTTTATCAAGCTCAGATAAAAGCCACTAAACACAAACATTGATCACCAGCAGGACCAGTCAGACCAATAAAAAGCTGGAACCAGATGTAGGCAGAGGGGGTCTTACTTGTTCTCCCTGATTGTCACCGTTACAGACCGCAGAGGTTACTGGTGTCTCAGCTTCCTGTGTGGACACCAGTTACTGAACATGACTAACTGCTGGGCAAAATGGTGGGGACAAAGCTTTATAAAACATTTACATCCTGCTTTTTGAAGATTTTTTTTTGGTTCCAGAGCTTGTTGTGTTAAGCAAAGGAGATTTCACCTTTTTGCTAACATAAGTTTGTCTGGCGCGACGTTGCAAAATAAAAACATCTGCTTTCCTTTGGTCCTGAGTGTGAGGAATTTTGTTAAGAGCATTAGCTGACTGAAACGTTTCCTTATAAATAAGTGTTCCCTGTACCTGCTCCACCTCTCCCTGGGTGATGGGCTGCGTCTGAAAGCGGGTATTGGCTCTGCGCTTCCGGATGTCCCCTCGAGACCCCTCCACGGTTTTGGCTGTGGAATGGGCGAGGTGGTTGAACAGGGCCATCTTCTCAGACAAACTGAGCGAGGAAATGTCCGGCTCGTCCAGGACGGGCGCCTGATCTTCGCTGCGTCCTCCAGCCCTGAGAGCTTGACCCGGCTTCTGGTGATCCGAGGCTTCTGTCTTGAGTTCTTGGACTGATGAGGAAGCCTGAATGCTGCGGGTGATGTCAGTGGGGAAAACACAGGTGTCAGATTTTGATTTGCTTGCTCCTGTTTTCTTGGTAATAAATAGTTTATTACATGTCTTTGTTCCTACGGCTAAATCAAGAAGGCCCTGACATGAAAAAAATCCCAGTCCATAATTGAAACATATCTAAGAAGTAAAAAAAAAAAGAATTAGATAACAACTTGACTTGTTTTTATGTAGCTGGTTTATTTGTGTAAATCTGAATTTAGGATTTCAAACCAGTTTATTTCTATAGCACCAAGTCACAACAGAGGTCGTTTTGGGGCACTGCATAAAAACATTCACATCCATTTAAAAAAGTAAATTAGTAAAAAAATTATCTAAGGAAACCAGTAGATTGGTTGAATCTTCACTTTGCCGCAGTCCTGAGCAAGCACAAAGGAGACAGTGGAGAGAAAAAACTCCCTTTTAACAGGAAGAAACCTCCAGCAGAACCAGGCTCAGGACGAGCGGCCATCTGCTTGGACCGGCTGGTTTAAGAGGAACAGGAAGGAGAGACAAACACAGAATGACAGGTCCAGATGAACTTTCTATTGGAAAAAATTAAATAAAATAAAATGCATGTTAAAAATAGAAATAGATATAAATACAAACAGGTAAAGTAGAGCAAGTAAAGACAGCAGAAGAGTGAGGGAATGAGGTCAATTTGTCCTCCAGCAGTCTAAGCCTATAGCAGTATGACTATGGCTAGTTTAGGAAACCCAAACCAACCCTAACTATAGAATTTATCAATAAGTAAAGTCTTAAGTCTAGTTTTAAAACTAGTCAATGTGTCAGCCTCATGGACAGAAACTGTACGTTGCTTCCACAAGAGAGGAGCCTGAGAACTGGAAGCTCTGCCTCCCATTCTGCTTTTAGAAACTTTAGGAACCACAAATAAACCTGCAATCTGAGAGTTAAGTGCTCTATTAGGAAAGTATGGAACATTACGATAAAATGGTAAAGGACTGTAGCATTTTACCACTTTTGATTTTAGCTAGCTGTTTTTTTTACATTTAGCTTTAGGAAAGAGGAAACTTCAGGTTTAAAAAACATAATTTTTAATATGTCCTAGCTTCTTAGAAATGATTGAAGTTGTCGTTACCTTCAAGATCTTGCGGCTGTGGTGGGCCTGAATCTATTAAAACATTTTAGCTATTCTTTTTTTTAAACTTTTTGTAACTTTTATATATTTTTTTAAATATAAATATAATGTTACTATAGTAAATGTTTTCATCCTTTTGTATTTTAGCTAATGTTATACATCTTTTAGCGTTTGGTTTCCTTTTAGATAAATCCTAAAATTAGGGTTGGCTTGTCATGCTGCCATAGGCTTTGACTACTGGAGGACAAATTGAACCGATTTCCTTAAATGAATTGTTAAAATTGAATAGTTTTAATTTTGATACTATTTTTATAACATGTGATTCTTGACCTGCCATTGTGTATCTGTTCCTCTCAAACAGCCGGTCGAAGCAGATGACCGCTTGTCCTGAGCCTGGTTCTGCTAAAGGTTTCTTCCTCATGAGGGAGTTTTTCCTTTCCACTGTCGCCTTCGTGCTTGCTCAATGTGAGAGTTCTGTGATGGAGTTAAACTCAAAGCAGTCTGCTCCTCAGATAAATAATGTTAAATTATTATTTTTATATATGAATGTTTCTGTTCAGTGCCCTGAAACGACTCCTGGTGTGACTTTGCACTATATAAATAAACTGATTTGAAATTGGAAATAGTGTTTTGCTCATTTTAAGTTTTAGCCATTTTTGATACATTTACCGGCAGTTTTTAGCTAGCGTCTTGCTACTTTTAACTTTTAACTAGTGCAATTCAACTTTTAGTTGTCACTTAGTTCTTTTTTTGCTTTTAGCAAATCTTTTACTTCTTTTAGCTGTAATGATTCCGTTTTAGCATTTTCAGCACATACATTCAGCGCTCAGTATTCACTGCAATATAATTTCTCTAGTCTCTCATAAGATCTTCTCCTAAATGTTAAAGTCAGAAACACGTTTCAAACACCTGACGGTAAAAACTGTGTCAAGTGAAAGGCACAGAAATGGACATAAGCAGATCAGCAGCCGTACTGCGTCAGATTATCATGTAAAGCACTTGGGAGTTTGTAGAGGTTATAATAATCACCTGCAGTGTGCAAAGTAAAACCTGTTAAACAAACTACAAGACAACTAAACACATGGCTCATTAATAAGTTTATCCAAATGTTCTACTGGTCAGTGAACAGGTGCACATGGCAAAGCAGCCCACCTGTAGCTGGTCACATTGGCTCTGGCGGTTGTGGGGCTGCACACTTGAACTGCGTTAACGTCCTCAGGTGGTGAATATGGTGTGGGATCACTTCAGAAAATGAGGAATAGAATAACACTGTCAGGAAAGGTTATGATGACAATGAAAACAAAAAATGTGCAAACTACAGGTATAACGCGAAAATATGATGCTATGGGGTGCCGTTTGTAAAGTTACACTGTCAGAAATTATCAGCAAATTTTGGTTTATTTAGCCTTTAAATAAAAAAAAGGTTTTTTTTCAAAGTCATATTTCACCATGTTATTCATACATTTATAAATGTCATAATTCCAAACAAAATATTTAATTTACAAGCTAAATATTTAATTTACGAACTAAATATTTAACTTGCAAGTTAAATATTTAGTTAGTAAACTAAATATTTATGTGTAAATTAAATATTTAATTTCCAAGCTAAATATTCATTTTCAAAACTAAACATTTAATTTCCAAACTAAATATTTATTCTCCAAGCTAAGTATTTAATTTACAAACTAAACATTTAATTTCTAAGCTAAACATTTTATTTCCAAAATAAATATTTATTGTTTAACTAAATATTTAACTCTCACCTAAGTATTTAACTTGCAAGCTAAATGTTTAGCTTGCAAGTTAAATATTTAGTTAGCAAATTAAATATTTAGTTTAAAAATTAAATGATTGGCTTAGAAATTAAATATTTAGTTTGGAAATTTAAATATTTAATTTGGAAATTAAATATTTAGCTTGGAAATTAAATATTTAGCTTTGAAATGAAATATTTAGCTTTGAAATCAATTATATAATTTACACCGAAATATTTAGTTTAGTAACTAAATATTTAGTTTACTAACTAAATATTTAGCTTGTAAATTAAATATTTAGTTTGTAACTATGACATTTATAAATGTATGAATAACGTGGTGAAAATATGACTTTGGAAAAAAAAAAATTCTTATTAAAGGCTAAATAAACTAAAATACTGCTGTTGATTTTTGACTGTGTAACTTTACAAACGGCACCCCATACAGGGCTCACCTTGAAGCGCTGACCACCTCTCTGTTGGTGACGGGTTGAGTTTGTGCACGGTCCTGAGCTCTTCTCAGACGTCGTTCTACAGCAGCATTTCGAGAGCGAGGCTTGGGAGCACCACCTTCTGATGTTTTTTCCAACTCCTGGAACCAACAATATGTCAGAGATATGTTCCTGTTAGCTTTGACAGTGAAACGAGAAGTAAAAAAAAAAAAACGCCTATTATTAGTTGCGAAATAAGGCCATAGATGATCTAGCCTTTGGTTTAGAGATTTTTAACTATCCATTATGTAAAAATTTGGAAGATTTGAAGTGAACGACTGAAAGATACATAAAGTAATAAAGATATAAACAAAATATTTACCCTGAAGAGTGATCTCTTTGCAGCTACACTCATCTTGGCTTTTTCATCCAGTTTTTCTTCATCTGCTGAAAAATACACATAATAAATTACAAACTACTATGTTTCAAAATACTTTATAGAGGAGACAGTGATATTTTGTGGCATTCTTTACAAAACTGCAACCAAATAATTCACCTCTTCCCTAACTTTCTTTCCAAGTCTTGATAAAAAAATAAAAAAAAACATGTTAGCTATGGAAAAACTTTTAAACCCAATGACTTTTATATACTTCTTCAGATTTTTTGCACCAGTAGTGCAACATGGCAAAGTCAAACCAACTGTATCTTCAATTCAGACTTAATGCACAGACATAAAGGTTAATATATGAAAGCATATTTTATTGTTATTACAACATGAGGAAATTTTAGGTTTTAAAGGTTAATCTTTAGGATGCCCTAACTTCTTAGAAACAACTTGGGTTGTCGTTACCTTCAAGATCTTGCAGTTGCGGTGGGCTTAAACGTGACCTGGGGGAATCATTGACATTCATTAAGCTTCAGTACCACAATTATATGTTAAAAACTGCTTTATTGTCATCTGAAGGTTACCATAGGTCACCCATGTACCTGTCAGACTCCAAGCGCTCTGCAGAGGTGATGGGCTGAGTCCTGAACCTCTCAGACATGCGACTGTCTCCTGGAGTGATGTAACGCCGAGGTTTCCGAGTCCCTCCGTTCAAATCAGTGCTGCTAGCTGGATCCACCTCCTTATCTGAGACGTCCACTTTAGTAGTCTCACTTTTCAGGTGGTGGATTCATTTAGAAAAATTAAAAAAAAAACACAAAATATAGAAGTGAATTTATCTAATATGTAGTAAAGATTTTTTGACAAATGAAAAACTAAACAAAATTATTTTTATTGAATATGTTGAGGGCTGAAACTGACAAAGGAGCTTAAACTTGGTTGTTAAAGTTAAAAGAAAAGCATTAACTAAAAGCTAATAGAAGCAGAACGCTAATGAAACGTAAAAATAAAACACTAAATAAAGGTTAACAGGACCAAAATGAAGTGGAAATTAGCAAATTTTTAATTATAGAATAAAGTAGCAAATGGTTGGCTGAAAGACAAAAGTAGAAATAGGCTAAGAAGATAAGTTTTTGCTAAAAGCTTAAAGTAGCAAAAGACTAGCTAAATTTACTATATAATGTGTTATGTGTTGTCATCAATGTATGTTCCCATACAATGGTGAAATTGGCTCTCTGCATTTAACCCATCCACCGCCAGGTGGGGCAGTGGGCGCCTGGGGAGCAACTGGGGATAATGTGTCCTGCTCAGACACCATGAGATGTGCAATGACCAAGGATCGAACCCCGGACCTTCGGGTCATGAGTCGGCTGCCCTGCCACTACACCATCTCAGCCCCCTTTATCAATCATACCGAAAATCACCATTCTCCTGAATGAGCTACATGAATGGCTAAAATCGGGAGGGATGCAGACGGCACAAAGCCACTCCTAGTTTTACACAACAAACTCTCAGTAATGGAGTAATTCATGTTAACATGCAGCAGCAAACCAGTAAACATTAAGTTGCAAAGAAAAATAATAAAAACTTACACAACAGACACATTCCATGCAACATCATTCAGACCACTGGCTGCAACAGCCACCATCAGCACATTATTTAGTTGCAAGAGATTATTGAAGCACTTTCAAGCACTTATTTAGTGATGCAACGCAGAGCCCATGCCGGTGAACCTACAACTCAGGCTTCCTGTTGGCATTCTCCAGGTAAGAGTGTCGCAGCTGTGCCACTGACACCCTTGTATCCAGGGTCCCCATCTCCCCATTAGCCACTCCTGGTGGAGGGACCATCCTGGGTGCCTCTCGGCCCGCCCCCTGCCTCTCAGCGCGGTACACGGCAGTGTGTTGGCTCAGACCAATATCTGACATGGAGCGGGTTCGTATCTTGGGTTTGAGCCCTCCGACTATTTCCAAGCTTCTGTGTTTGGCCTGAGGCACAGACGAGCCCTTCTGAAGGTAGGCGACGGAGTCAAACCTCTGTTGTGACGGTGCGCTCTGCTGCTGCACAGCTGATCGTTCATAGTGAGGCTCCTCATGTTTTATTTGGGAGTCTTGCTCTTTACCTGGGAGCCTATTTGTACGCCAGTTATACACATGCTGCTCTTGAGATGGTCTTTGGTTTTCTTGTGGCAGTCTCAAGTGATGGTTATGTTGCCTTGGAGGTTCTTGCGGAACTTGATCTGCATGTTCTACCCTTCTGACGTCGTACTGTTTCTGCACTGGGGGGTCATGTTGCTTCATTTTGGGCTCTTGATGGTAAACAGGCTGTATGGACTGATCTTGCCTTTGTTGCTGGTGCACAGAGATGTGAGAAGGCTGTATAGTTCGAAAGACTCTCTCCTCTTGGTCGTCATGACTGGAGAGATGTTCTGTTCTTCTTTCTCTGATCCTCTGAACAGTTCTTTCCCTCCCTCTCTCCACTGGCCGGTCTCTATCCAAGTCCTCCTCTGCCTGATTCCTCCTCCTTCTCTCTGGGCTGAGGGTTTGCCAGTCTGTCTCTTCGTGCTGCCCTCTCTGAGGATCGTCCACACTCTTCTCCCTTTTGCGAATCTCTGAAGGTAGCACAGCTTTCCTGCTCTTCAGCAGGCCCTCTGTGTGGGCTTCTTCTTTTAGGACCTGTCTTGCCTCCAGTCTTGCCTCCAGTCTTGCCTCCTTGTGCACTGCATGCATTTGGTCGACATTCAGTCTTCTTCGTGGTTGGACCTCCGGTGGTCCAGAAGATTTGACCATTGGTTGGGTGTCTATAGCAGGGCCAGAGTGTTGGTACTCAGAGGTGGAGGGTGCAGGATGGTGAGCCGGACTTGGCTGAGGCTGGTAAACATTCCTTTGTTGTGGGTGCTCTGTGTGTTGTGGGGCATATTGAGCAGAGCTGCCATGACTGTACCGTCGGCTTGACTGCTGCCTGTCTGGACTTTGGTCAGGGGGCTTCTGGAGCGTCTCATCCCTGGACAATCGGTCCCTTACCCGGATTCTTGGAGAAAAAAATGCACACAAGACACTAAGATTCCACTTAAATATAAAGATGTACAGCTCTGTCTGAACACATGACACAACTCGCACAATCACTGGTGTTTTAATGAAGAACAAAAATTATATGTTAAAATGAACAGTTATTATTATACAATG